CAATCATAGTTCAAATCCCAGGCTAGGTGGCTTGCTTTCTTACTTCCTTTCTCTCTCTCTCTCTCTCTCTTCCCCCCCCCCCAGCCTCTGCCTCTCTTTGGTGGTGTGCCTAATAGCAAATTTTAAAAAATTATAATAAAAGAAATAATTATTTTAAAAAAACAAAATGGCTCTTAGCAGGGAATTCTAACTACAATCCAAAAAAGAAAGACATGCTGCATGACACTGCTTTGTCCTAAGACAGCATGAGATTTGAGTCTTCTCAAATCTGTAGCAAATAGGGTTAAGTCATGCCGTATTTCACATTCCATAACTACAATTGGCATAAAAATTTGAGTTAGAAAAATGTAAGAAGCTGAGAAATTAAAGTGAGGAAAATGAGGGTGAAAGAAATGAATTAGGTCTGTAGGTAAGTCATTTCTCAGGATCTCAGTTTCCCCACTCCCAAAATCTAAGAGGTAGGCTAAATTACATAGTATTTTTCAAATTAGGTGCTATGGATATATGAGCCAGAAAATCTACAGAAGGATGCTGAGTTGCTGAGTTGCTGAGGTCAGGTGGATGGTTCTGTTAAGCTCTAGGTTGCCCATCTTTTTAATCAGAGTAAATTACTTTTATGTTCCATATATAACTTTATGTTGTATATATTTTATATACATAATACAATGCACTTCTGCCACTAAGGTGCATGTCTGAAAACAAACTTGTAGAATTTCATGATCCTAGAATAAAGAGAAGCTATAAAATCTGAAACAAAGTAAAGGGAAAGCAGAAGCAGAGGACAAATAAGACAAATAACTGATGAAAAATTTATCTCCTTTCCACCAAAATATGAGAGATGGAACAAGAGAAATACATGGAATCCAGGAATTGGGAAATTCAACCAAGAAAAAAGAAAAGGGAACCTGAAGGTGTAAGGGAACTTTGGGAGTTATGCAACAGTGCATCAGCCTAGAATGGAGGGCAATCAGTCCAGGTCGGTGAGAGAAGTTAAAGGACTATAAAAGGGATAGCTTCAAGGGGGGGAAAAAAAGACAGGAAACTGGTAGGTTACAAAGAGACTTCAATAAGTTCATAGAAAATGGAATTAAAGCACAAGTTCACATTGTTGCAAAAAAATTTTGAAATTCATGCATAAATTTTAATATGTATCTTTCATGAACTTTTTAAAGATCCTCTCAACTGGGCACAAGTGGATTAAGGTGGCACAGTAGAGGCTGGTATAAAATAATGATAGATGCTTTGAGATATTAGCCAGGTAATTCTTTTTTTTTTTTTCTTTCTTTTATTTATTTTTTGGGGCGGTAGAGGTTTTTGCTATAGGGCACATGCACTCACCAGAAAGACAGAGAGAGACAGACAGAAAGTGAGAAATCACTCCCCAGGGGGGATAGCCATGCCACAATCCCTTCTCCACCATTCTCCTCTCCAGATCCTGGGCATGCACGCACACGCGCCTGGCGTTGAGTTTAAGCCCCCAAGTCTGGGACTCGAACCACAGTCAGCTACATGGGAGTCAGCAACATAGCCATTACGCTAACTACTAGTCCTGCCAGGTAATTCTTAACCCTAGGGAAATTTAAATTAAGAAAAAAAAAATGTAGGTCCAGACCAAATACCAGCCTTGGCAGCTTGAAAAACACACAAGGCATATGCCCCAAATCCTGATGGGGAGAAATGGAGGAAAAAGGATTGCAGCATGACCATACCCCATTGGAGGGTGTTTTCTGTCTATCTCTCTTTGTCATGAATGTACATACCCTTGACCAACTAAAGAACAGAAAAAAAAAATGTAGGCCAGCAGGTGGTGTAGTGGTTAAGGTGCTAGACTCGCACACAGTCATCCATAGTTCAAGTCCCAGACTCCGCAGCTTGAAACTCACACTGGACGCACGTGCATGCATGCCCAAAATCCCAAGAAGACAATAGAGAAGGGACTGTGGCATGGCCATCCTCCCAGGGAAATGATTTCTCACTTTGTCTCTCTGTCTTTGTCTCTCCAGTGAGTGCATGCACCCTATAGCAAAAATCTCTCTCTAAAAAAAAGAAAATGTACTCATGGTACACTAACACAGATTAGCTGTGAATGATTTCATAATATTGGTAATCAGTAACTACCAGTTAACAAAAAGTTACAACTACACTGAAAGTCAAGGATATGGAGAATGAGGAAGGGCAATATAAAAGAACTAATATTTCGTCTTCCATAGAAGGCAGCCTGAATTAAAAGGCTGATTGAATTTCCCACCTTAGAAAAGGAGGGTTCTTGTGTTTCCCTCTGGTTGCTGCTTTGTTTTTGGCTTGTTAGTCCTGCAAACTGGGGCACAGAGTTCAAAGGAAAATAGCTTGTTACTAGTTAGGCACCTCCCACAAATCAACAGTGTGAAAGAAAACAATTTCTCCAAGCCTTCATGTTCCTGATAAAAGGTTATACCAAATAATCTCAAAGGGCTCCTCCAACTTTAATATTTTATGACCCTAGATGATCCAAACAAATTAGCAAGTTATTGTTGGAATGTGAGGTGCATGCACTATTGTCCTAGAATTTTATTGAGCTGCTGGATCAACAAACTTAAGATTTTTGAGGTGTAATGGTTACATCGCTGGACTCCCACATGGCTGACCCCGGTCTGAATCCTGGACCCAGACGCTTGAAACTCATGCCAGGTGCATGTGCATGCATGTTCAAGATCCAGAGAGGAGAAAGGAGGACAGGGGATTGTAGCGGACAGGGGATTGCAGCATGGCCAGTCTTGGGGGTGAGAGAATTTCTTGCTTCCTGTCTCTCTGTCTCTTTCTCCAGTGAGCATATGCTCCCTTAAGAAAAAAAGAATTCTTTCTGAGTTTCTGAGACTATTTGGAGGTATATTGACCATTTATATTCAAGAAAATTAATCTTATGGATACTCGATGGCTCTTATCAATCATCCAAAAAGAACTTTTAGCTTAATGCTAGTGGAAGGCTTAAAGTCATTGCTGAATAACCAAAAATAACTAGAACTAAAATTAACCCTGAAGGAGCCGCTTTTTTTTTTTTTTTTTTAAGAAAGATTTTTGCTATAGGGAGCATGTGCTCGCCTGACAGGCAGAAAGTGAGAAATCACCTCCCAGGCCATGCTGCAATCCCTTCTCTTCCACTCTCCTCTCAGGATCTTGGGCGCACACACACACACACACACACACACACACACACACACACGCTCCGCATGAGTTTTAAGGCACCGGTCTAGGATGCAAACCCCAGTCGACTACATGGGACGTAACCATTACACCATCTGCTGGTCTCAGGAGCCCTCTTCTTATGGGTATTCTGTTCCCAGAAAGAATACTGAGGAGGAAAGAATTACAAGTAGAATTAAAGCATATGACAGCATGCAAGGTTGATGTTAGACAATATGATTTAACACAAAGGGTCACAGGGAGTGGATCAAAACCAATGGAATTCTCATCCTGAATTCACAACAGTCTAATCTTCATTTGTTTCTCATTTATGCCCTTTCTGGTTAGTGGTTAGAGAATCACTAAGTGTTACTGTGAGAAGAGACCACAGGAATCTTCTCATGTCCTATTTCCTTGCTGTTTGCTGATGAAAATCTCTAAAGTCCCAAAGAAGAGATTTCCCATAACTAATGATGGGACCAACACCCAGATCTTCAGTTTGTCTGTGGGTCTGTGTATTTTTTCTTCCTTAGTCCAGATCTTCTCTCTTTTTCTGACTCCCATTTAGTTATGTACTTATAAAAGATAATGGCCTATAGAAGTTCCAATCTGCTGAGTAAATCACACTGTAGCAAGCCCCCCACTGAGAAAGGCCTATGCAGGTGTCTGAGCAGAGGGGAAAGTTAAGATTCTTCCACTCAGCCCTTGCCAAGCTCCACTCCCCTCTGGTGAAATTTAATTGACTTTATAAGGATAAACAAAAAGCTGAGCAGAGGGGGACTGACTAAATGTCTTCTAAAGGTATGAATAAGAGGTTGTCAAGGCCTACAGACCAGCTGGTTTGATAGTATTCAAGAAACAGAAGCGTTTAGAGGAAGAAAAGAAAAGGGAAGGAGGAGGAAAAGGATGGAAAGGGGCAAGTAGCCAGATATATCACGTTTGAAAGCTAGTTGGGAACCGGCTAACAACAGTTAAGAAGTTGGCTGGAAATTTCTATTAGAATTCTTTTTTTATCCATTCATCTAATAAATATGTTCTGACTGCCTACTATGTGTATAACATTCTACTAAGCCAAAGGAAAGATACTCAAGACATTAAAAGGCAGCCCTAAGTCATCAGAAGTTTGGAATCTAGTTTGAGGAGAAGAAATATGATTAAACCAACATTCTGGGAGTGCTTACTACATGCTGGGCATGATGCTGGATGTCAAGTATTACAGAAATTAACGAGATGGGCTTGGGCCATAAATTTGAAAGGCACAATCCAAAATGTCATAATTCTAAATGTTGAAATCTTGAAAGATCAAAATCCCTTAAGTCTAAAATCCCCAACATCTAAACACCCACTAAAAAATGATCCCAAAAGAAAAAATTCCTGAATGCTGAAGTCCTACAAGCCAAAATCCCCCAAACCACCATTCCCATGAAACAAAAAAAAGAGGCATAGATGCCAAATTCTATGGGAGTTTTTCTTTTCTTTCTTATTTTTTTATTTTAAATTGCTAATATTATTTTTTACAATTCACTATGCTATATTTCATCTTCACATTATTTCCAATACAGAAGGTATAAGTAGTGTTAAGACTTCTAGATTTATTTTATAGATTTCTTTGTGCAAATATGACTTTATAAAAATGTATTATCACAAAGCTGACTTTGCATGTTATGTGAGTACATGGAAATACTGAAATTTCCTCAATAAATAAAGAGATGTCTTTCTTTCTCATTCTCCTCTCCCTTCCCCACCACCCATCCCCCAGTCATGCCTCCTAGCGCCCGCTCCTGTCCCGCCCCCTCCCTCCCCCGCCCCCTGCCTTGTGACACATTCTGGGTCCTCCGGGAGGCGGCAGCAGCAGCAGCGGCAGCGGCATTAGCCACCACCTCCACCGAAGCCGCAACCCCAGCTCAGCCTCCCTTTGGCCCCGCCTCTGCTGCAGTCATGGCTGCTGATGGAGTGGACGAACGCTCGCCTCTGCTGTCAGCATCCCATTCAGGAAATGTCACTTCCACCACCCCACTGTACTTGTAAGAGACCAGCCCCAGAGCGGAACTCCCACCTCCATATACAGCCATTGCCAGTCCAGATGCCAGTGGTATTCCAGTAATAAACTGCCGCGTGTGCCAGTCTCTAATCAATTTGGATGGCAAGCTTCACTATCATGTGGTTAAGTGCAGTTTTGCAATGAAGCTACGCCAATCAAAAACCCCCCGACAGGGAAGAAATATGTTAGATGCCCTTGTAATTGTCTCCTCATTTGTAAGGACACATCTCGGTGAATAGGATGTCCCAAACCCAACTGTAGACGCATAATTAACCTTGGCCCAGTAATGCTTATTTCTGAAGAACCAGCTCAACCTGCGTTGCCAATCCAACCGGAAGGTACAAGGGTTGTATGTGGGCACTGCGGAAACACATTCCCGTGGATGGAACTGAGGTTCAACACTGGCAAAATGCCCACACTGCAAAAAAATCTCCTCAGTGGGTAGTGCACTTCCGTGAAGACGCTGCTGTGCATATATTACCATTGGGATGATATGTATTTTCATTGGAGTTGGGTTAACTGTTGGCACCCAAGATTTTGCAAGGCGATTTCATGCAACCTATGTTTCTTGGGCAATTGCTTATCTCTTAGGTTTGATCTGCCTTATTCGAGCTTGTTATTGGGGAGCTATAAGAGTCAGTTATCCAGAACACAGTTTTGCATAAGCTTGGTTATGAAACAGTGATGTTGGTGAGAGTGTCTAGCAGTTCTTGATAAGCTACTCTGGACATCTTTAAAGTCATTCATCCTAATGGATTCCATTCTGGTTTATGTATTATAGTTTCAAGACTTTGGGAGTCTGTTATGAACAAATGCTCATTGCACTACATTATATGCAAATAGTTTGTTTAGCTGCTGGGTTTTCAAACTTGGAATAAACCTGTGTTTTCATGTTATTTTACATCTCTTAAAAGATATTTTTGGATTTATCATTAAACATTACATATAATATCTCCCTTTCATTATTTTTTTTATCAGCTATTTCATTACTTGCTGATCTGTGAGTATTCCCAAGAAGTGTTTATAAATGTTTCTATAATAGCTTCACATTTATACTTACATTTTAATTATATAGTATCAAAATTGCTTGCTTTAAAATCTAAGCAATATGCATTTTGCTTGAACTGCTTACAGCAACTTTAACCTAAGATTATAGTGACCTTATTCAGGAAAACAAAAAATTGAGTGTACCTTCAAAAACTTGACAATTATCAGAGAAAAAAAATTTCTAGATACTGTATGCTTGTTTTTTGTTGTTTGTAGAAAGATTCAGTATTTTGGTAGTAATTTAAAATACAAGAATGGAAATAGTTATTTGTTCACAGTTGGAGATGTTGGATAAATGTCTTTTCTCAAAGATCACAGGACTTTTTGTGTGTCTTTTTTTTTTTTATTTACCAGTTACAAAAGATCTTACCCAAGTTTATGAAATTTCATGTTATATGTGTTCCTTTATAGAGACTGGAGGAAGTATTTCACACATATTTTATAATCCTTAACCATTTAATCAAAATATATTTACATTGGATTGTGCTCCTTTTCATTAGATCATGGCTAATTTTTCTTATTGGGGTAATTATTACTACTTACATATGAAGGAAGCTTATGACATTTTACAGTAGCTAAATAGTTGAGATTAGATGTATTCCTACCATTCTTCTCAAATGCAGTTGGTCAGATAATTACTCATTGCTCAAAAAAAATAGATCAGACACAAAAACTACATAATTTTCTAAAAACTCACTAGTATTTATGGAATCAGCTCTTGCACTGCCCATCTTTGCAGTTTTGGAAAAGAAATTACTTCACTGAAAAGTAATGTTGTAGAGTCTTTAATGTAATAGCATTAGATAATGAGATGATCTGAGTAAATTAATTGGTAATTCCAAAGGTAAGACTAATATTTTAAATTGTGTTCCTGGTTAGAATAAAAATGTACTCATTAAAAACTTTGGAGCAAAATACATGTAAACTTGAAAGAATAAATGATAAATGTATAAATACAGTAGCTCAGGATTATATTATATGGACCTTTGAAAATACACTAATAAAGATTATTGTTCAAAAATTACTTTGTTGTATTCTATTTAAATAAATGTCACTTCCAAAATTGCCTTGAAATCTTGCTCTATAGTTTTCATGTTTAAACTTTTTTTTTTCAGAGAAAGATTTTTTGTTGTAGGGTGTGTGCACTTGCTGAAGAGACAGAGAGACAGGAAGCAAGAAATCACTTCCCCCCTCCCCCCCGGGGATGGCCACACTGCAATCCCCTCTCCTCTACTTTCCTCTCTGGAGTTTGGGCATGCACACACATGTATCTGGCATGAGTTTTAAGTCACTGGGTCCGGGACTTGAACCATGGTCGACTATGTGGGAGTCCAGCAACATAACCATTATGCCAACTGCTGGTACCGGTAATGTTTCTTTATATGGTATTCGTTTATTTTTTTCTCTACTATTTTTGTGGATTTTTTTTTTTTTTAGAGCTTTTTGCCTTAGTGTGTGCACTTATCGGGGAGAAAGAGACAGAGACAGTAACAGGGAAAATGAGAAATCACCTCCCAGGGGGATGGCCACATTGCAATCCCTTCTCCTCCATTCTCCTTTTGGGATGTTGGGCACTCATGCAAACACACCTTTCATAAGTTTCAAGTCACCGGGTCTGGGACTTGAACCATGGTAGGCAATGTGGTAGTCCAGCGATTTAACAGCTACACTATCTGCTGGGCCCTACTTTTGTGAATTTTTAAAGAATTTTATTAGTTATTTTATGAGAGCAAAAGAAATAGACACCCCAATAGGGTCTTCATGCTGCAATCAAACCCCAGCCGCAGCCTATAATATGGACATGAGCACACATGCCAGGCAGGTGCAGCGGGCACTCAGGATGCAAATGCAGAACCTATATATGGCTTCGGTATCTTACTGTTGTACCACCACAACTGGCATATGGTTTTATTTTAATATAAACATTTATTAATTTGTAATCCATTTATGGAATAAGCTATTTTCTTAATGATTTATTTATCGCAACAGCATTGCATATTAAATAACCCATTTTTCCACATTTACTTATAATTCCATTCCATTTTGTTATATGCTACATGATCAGAGTCCTTCTGAAATACAACTCCAGAAGATCAAGAACCTTGACTTTCATGTTCACTGCTTTATCCCCATTTAGAACAGTTCCTGGCATATATTGCTTAATATAGATGAGTGACTATATATGAATGCATATATGAATGAACTAATTGGTATTTTACATTTTTGTATATTCTTGGGCCTGTACTTTATATTTTGGACTAGATTATATAGTTATTTATGTAATTTTAGGTTAAGGGAAAACTTTCCAAGTAGATCCCAAAGCATAAATCATATAGAAAAGAACCAGTAGAATAGATGATGAAAGCAAAACAAATGATCAAACAGAAATCCCAAATACTACTATGTGAAAAAAATATATAAGCAAAGCCAAAAGAGGAGCTGATGAAAATATTTTAAAAATAGGAGAGTTAATTTTTGTAATATAAGAAAGGTCTAAAGGAATGAAGAAGCAATTATAAAAGACATACAGTATGTAATAAACATGAACTTTTTTCAATTTCCTAATAATTAAAGAATGTACATTAAATCGAAGTGGTACTGGGGCCAGCAGATGGCATGGAGGTTAGACCAGCAGATGGCAGGGCTGACTAAGCAGTTGGAGTACTGGACAGAGAACTTGAAAAAAAGAGCTTGCACCCATGTGTGCCTGCCTCAAACCTTGAGAAGAGAAAGAAGGGGAAGGAACTGAGGCATGGCCATTTTCCCTGGGGGATTATTTCTCACTTTCTCTCTCCCTATCTCGCTGGTGAGCACATGTGCTCTATTCAAAACTAAAAAACAAAATAACACACACACACACATACAACCCAACCCCAAAAGATATTATTTTTTACCTACCATATTAACAAAGAATAAAAAAGCAATAATATCAAGTCCCTGGTCTAGAATTCGAACCACACAGTTGGCTTTGTGGGACCTAGTCACTCAACCACCATGCCACAGGCTGGCCTTAATTTTGTTTTTCAAGTAGAGCATGTCTTCTAGTGTCTAGAGAATGGAATGTGGGGAAAATATTATGCAAAAGAATATACCATGGCCATTGATCAGAAAAAGAAAAATATATTTGTCTCCTGGTGTTCAAAGTAGTAAAAATTGACATAATTCTTAGAAAAGCAGAGAAAATGGCACCATGATCAGGTATTTTTGAGCAAGTCATTTTTGAGTTCATATGGCATTTGAGAAGAAAAGAAAGGGACCTAATAACATGGGCCAAATTGTGCCAGCCTCAGAACACAGCTGTTTAAGTATTCACAGAAACCTAGGAAGCAAGCTTTCTTGCTTCTGCTTTACCAGAGAAATTCAGGTGCTACACCTATAGATCTGCAAAAGTAGATTTTGAGTAGAGTATGACAGAAATTTCCATTCAAGACATTCACTCCTAGAGGTATGTTTTTCTTGGATCTCCCTGAGAATCACTATATTATGCTGAAAATACACATACACGTTTACACCCATTTTCTTTGGCATTATATTTTCAAATATAGAAAAAACTGTGATTGTATCTGAGTAGATAATGCCATTTCTTTTGTTTAGCTTCTGTTTTGTTTAATTTTGATAAGACTATACTTGTTCTCTTCTGCTATCATGAAACTCTACATTTCCATGTTCATGGTCTGCATAAATTGCTCTCAAATATAAATTTTAATTTTTCTAATGTATGCATATGCATGTACACATCTATGTAATTAGCAATGAAGAAAAAAAGCCCTGTTTATTGAACTACCTTGCATATGTTAATATTTAATCACCTGTCGTAATTGTGATTCTACCATTAAGAAGTTGAGAGGTTAAATAGTCAGGTAGAAGTCAATCAACATATATCTATTGGAGCAAGCTGGAATCAGTCTTGTCTGACTCAAAAATTTGTCTGCTTTCCATTGCCTTGTATTTTATACTTTGTAGTGAATAGCTCTTGATTTTTGTGCCCCCTGCTGTTCATTGTCTGTAAAGAAAATTAATGGAATTCCCAAAGTATTTCAAAAGAATAGACTATTCTAGTTAAGCATATTTTTTTGCATTTGATATTAAATCTAACCACATTAATTTTAGAGCAACTTTAAAAAATTGCAAGAGGGCATGTGCACTTTCTGTAAAGAGACCAAGAGACACAGAAGGAGAGAACACTTCCTGTGGTGCATGGTTGCTGTACAATGCTTTCGTCTCCATTTCTCCCTCCTTTGAAGATTTTGGACACACACTCACATGTGCCTGGCATGTTTTCCAAGCTGCCAGGTTGGGGACTTGAACCATGCAGCTGGCCAGGTAGGATCCAGTTGTTTCCTTAACCACCAAGCCACAGGCTGGCTCTAGAGTGTTTTAATTTATGTAATAATATAGTACAGGTAACATTATTATTGCTACATCTATTGTCTTATGTAATTAACATTGAATCATAGGAAGACTGAGCAGGAATATTATTCATTAAACATGAGGAAATTTATATATAATAAATCTTAAATAATGTCTTGATTTTCTTTTTCCTATAATAGCAATATTTATTTTAAAATTGTTAAATGGCACAATACACTGAAAAGAGATTTTTAAAGGTTTTTAATTTTTAAATTCATTTAATGTGCTCAGTTATGTATTTAAATAAACTCTGTTTTCTTTGTATTTTGCTAAACATGCATGTATTTGACTTGAGGTGGAATACTATATGAAAAGCAGAAAGATTCTTTTGGGAAATGCCCCATAAGATAAGATGTCAAATAAGGTTAAAGATCAAAGAAGTGGTAGGGGCCAGCAGGTGGCGTTGTGGTTAAGGGTGCCAGACTCCCACATGGCCGACTGTGGTTCGAGTCCCGGACCTGGTGGCTTACTTTCTCACTTTCCCTCCTTCCCTCCCTCTCTCTTTCACTTACTCCCTCTCTGGTCAAATTAAAATAACTAACTAAATAAGTTAAATTAAAAAAAAAAAATCAAAGAAGTGAGTATAGTTTGTAACTTAGCAGGTGTGAAACTTTGTCTACCAAGATATTTTCTCTTCTATAACTCAAAGTCATTCAGGGTAACACACTAAATAAGAACTGATCACAACTGTTCTGATTGAATATTCTGAATAACCTGAGTGGCTTTTTCATGTAGGTAACAAATAATTGTTGGATATAAAACTATGATAAATCTCCCAGAGTACCAATAAATTTTTGTGAAAAATCTTGCCACAGTATAGATATATTTCCATCCCAAATATACTTTGGGCTTAAAACATGAGACATTTAAATAACCTTGGAGAAAATGCATTAAGTTTTTATTAGTTATTAAGCCTTTAGCAAAATTTAGGAAATATGTGGATAATTCCTTGGCTTGTATAATGCCATTTTTGCCCCAGTCTCTTTCTTATGCCTGCTTCTGTTGCTTTACAACTTCCTCACTACCTGCCATCTGCCATCCTAAGTCCCACACTTCACTCCTTCAAATGCAATGCAGACTTCACTACACGGTTTTCATGATCAAATGCTACTGATTTAAATCTCACTGCAAATACCCTATTTAATATGATAGTTCTCACCCACAGTTCTTTAATTCTGTCAAGTCATATAATCCATCTTCATTTTACTTCTGCTATTCATTCTGTAGCTGCACACTGGATGGTTATCCACAGACCCACTCACCTCTGAACTCTTGCACTCAGCTATTCTACTCTCTGAATATATATATATTCCACCTTTATGAAATGATTGCTCTCTATGCCATTCTTTCCTGAATATTCTGCTTAAGAATTTCATGTTTATTATTCAATTTATCATCTCCTTTACCAATGAATCCCACAATCACATTGATTCTACCACAAATTTCTCATCATCACCTTCAACTAACTCAACTGTATTTATCTGCATTTCAGCTCTCCTGCAAATCCCCTACAGATATTACTTTAAAGCTTCAAAGTCTGCTGCTTTTCACAGCAAACCTCTTCTTTTTTCTTGTAGTGGATCATATTTTTATTTCATATATTCTTGCTTTCGACCCTTTCTTCCACCTATAATCTAGATCCCATTTCCTCATGCCTTCCTTCCTCAGAGAAATGACATCTTTTCATTTTTTCCTATATCCATCTGGGGACCCAAGTCAACTGACACCACAATTTTTAGTTCTCCATACACTATCTACACTTAACAATTCTCTTATTCTCTCAACTATGTGCACTTTTGTTTATGGTCACTAGATACCTTACCTATGGATCTCATAAACATCGAATTACTGTAAAAAGCTCTAAACTCATTCCTTTGCCTGTCTTTCCTGCTGCCCATATCTCTTCCCAATTCATTTTTTTCACACTGTCACTTGTTTTCCAAATGGGCATATATTGGGAACCAGCAGTTAGCGTAATGGCTATGTCGCTGGACTCCCACATAGTCGACCGCAGTTTGCGTCCCGGACCCGGTGGCTTAGAACTCATGCCGGGCGCGTGTGCGTGCGTGCCCAAGATCCCGAGAGGAGAATGGAGGAGAAGGGATTGCGGCATGACCATCCCCCCTCGGGGGTGATTTCTCGCTTTCTGTCTCTATGTCTCTCTCTGTCTGGCGAACGCACGTGCCCTATAGCGAAAAACCTCTCCAAAAAAAAAAAAAAAAAAAAAATGCAACAAATGGGCATGTATTATCACACCTAACCTAAAATCATTTAATATCTCTTCATATCCTTATAAAGGAGATAGAGAATCTTTATTCTTTTCTGACCTAATATTGAGCCACTACCATACAGTCTCTTGAATTTTTCTACTGTAGTAAAATTACTACTTTCTTGTATTGACTGCTGTTTTGTTCCTATATGCCTTTGTGCTGTTCTCCCATCAGAAAGGAATATCCTTTCTAAGTGGGTAACTTTTCATCCTTGAAAATCTTACTCAGGCATTACCAACCCCCATAAACTCTTCAGTGAACCTTCTTTTCTTGCCTTCCAGCCTTCAAAAGAGTTATGACTTTCCTTGTCTACTTTTATTGCATGTAAATACTTCTACTACATACTTTTACAATTTTACATTTTAGTTTATAGGCACTATTAGTGGACTATCATTCTCTTCTTGCTAATTGTGCACCAGCCATATTAATCTTATTTTAGTTTGTATTTGTATCCTCAGTTCCTAACACATAATAAGCAGAGATATTCAAAACTCTTATGCTAGGCTGATTTGAGCTGAATGGAACCATCTTTATATATAACGTTTAACAAATTGATTGCTATATTATAAGCACCTGTGTGCACAAATGTGTTTGTGTGTGTTTATGTGTGTCTCTATCCTTTAAAAATGCTTTGTGTGGAATAAATGAAGGTGAGGCAGATTGTTGTCAAGAGGTTGGTTAGGAGATCATTCTGTAAACACTAGATAATGGTCCCTCTTCAGCTTTTCCTGACCTGCCAGGATTTTAATAGCACTATCCTTTGTTTTGAACTTTATCTTCACAATTAACTTATTTAATTGGAATTGTCTGTTTCCATATCTACATCTTCACTAGACAGTACATATTATGAGAGTAGGTAACTAGTGCACTGTGTGTGTGTGTGTGTGTTACTAGTGTAAGGTACTATGAGTTAGAGTTACATAAGATACAAAAATATAATTGTAAATAAACCTCTGCTTATAAGTAATAGGATATATTAAGTGTGAATTATCTTCCTACTTGGATTCTTATTTCCACTCTTGCTTTTTCTCATTTCATTCTCCAAGACTATTTTATTTGGGGGGGGAAAGGGGAAGTTTTGTAGAGGAATAAACTAAACATTTGTTTGGAATAAGAAAAGCAGTAACAACAAATTACACAATATAAAAAATGACAAATACCACATGTTGTACACTGTAAAAAAAAATGACAAATGCCACAAACAATAAAATGTAGACTTTTAAATATATTTTTAAAAGTTTTTGCTATAGGGTACATGTGCTCACCAGAGGGGGCGGGGAGGAATTGAGAAATCACCTCCCATGGGGATGGCCATGCCACAATCCCTTTTTCTCCATTCTCTTCGAATTTGGGGCACACATTCAAATGCGTCCAGTGTATTTTCCAATCACTAGGTCCAGGACTTGAACCATTCACTCAACCATGTGGGATCTAGCTGCCTTAATCACCATGCCCTCTGGCTGGCCCCAGAAAAACATTTTTAATTAACTACTTTTACCACTGCTAAGCTTTCTCCATTTTTTAGCTTTATATTTTTAATTGCCTTATCATTTGACAACAATTTTATAATAAGTTTCTCTGTTGAGGATAATTGGGTATTCCTTTAAGTATAGTTAATCAACATTTATGTTTTCATTATTGAAAGGTTAGAAAAGTTCATTTCAGTTTTATAATTTGTTATTGGTAGTAACATGTCAATTTTTAGTATTGCTAAATTTGAGGAAACCTGACATGAGTTTCTTATGGGAGGTCTGTGATTTCAGGGCACCTCAGATTTTCTTAGACAGTGACTAAACTTAAGTACACTTTAAATTGCCGAAAAGTCATTAACCTGCTTGTTGTCAATTTCTTGTTGTAAAGGTGTGTTGTGAGTACCAGGTTATCCTTGAAGACATGTTGATATTTCATGTGAAATCTGTAAGAAAAATTTTAAGTTTCAATGTGTTTATATGATTCATTTTCTCTTATCAAAAAATATAGAAAATTCCTTATTCTGATTATAATTTATCTCTTTCCTTCAGTAAGTCACTGATAATGGTTTGATCTGAAATGTTTTCTTCTAATTCACATTCTCATCACAATACTGTCTATTGGTCATATATATAATTTTATTGTAAGATGCACATAAAATATGTTGTAGCATTAAATATACTCCTGAGGAAGAAAACTTCTGTTGAATAGATTGATGAGAACTGAATCCTGCACTTAACATTTTCTACATTTGGATATTGGAAAGATATATTGATTTTGCTGTCCATAGACCTCAGTGCCTCATGCTACATTCTTATCATGACACATTATCTGACCCTGCACTTCAGTCTCTGATGCCAAATGAGCTGTCTCAGTGTATGTAGGAGTGTTCTTGGAAGCTATTTCCACACTGAAACAACTAGCAATATCTTGACCAAACATGGGAGAAGACTTATGAAGCTCCACATGTTTTTAAATGCTAAATCCTAACATAATACTGCCCCACTTGAAAACCTTCAATTCTCTTCTATTATAATAAAATTATAATAGGATTCCCAATGCTCTTCTATTATAATAAAATTCAACCTCCTTACTAGTATCTACAAAACAAGATATGGGAGATAGCTACTGAATTTGAGCTATGAAACATTGCTTTCATTGACTAAAAGTGAAGATTTTCTGCTGAGATTTCTCCCTCCAGATTCATTTCTAGTTGCCTCCCTGTACTGAGTGTCTAGACAGGTCCAAGTGAACAGTATCCAAACATCTGAATATGATTTGGGTCAGAATATTCCTCAATTCCCACTGAATCTGATACACAGAGAGTGAAAAATGAAATGGAAGAGAGAATGCAGATCACCTCCTCCTGCATGCCTCAGAACACTCAGATTGAATTTGAAGAATTAGGAAGAAACACTCAATCCATTAGATGACCAGAAATCACTGCAGGGTCACAAGAAATATGGGAAAACAAGAAAATACCTCTTCTCCGAGGGAAAAGAATAACTCTTCTTCATACTCAGACAGTACAATGAAACTCATGGAAATGTCAGATAAAGACTTTAGAATATTCATAGTCACAAAGCTAACAGAGATGGAAGAAAGACAATGAACTGCAGAAGAGGCAGGAGAAAGGAGCTGACAAGATCCAAGAGGTGACGAAATTCTTGAAAGATCTGAAAAAGGAATACGCATCATAAAAAAAAAAATCAAATGGAACTGCTAGAGATGAAGGCTATAATACAGGAAGTCAAACCTCCCTTGAAAATATTAAAAGCAGACTAGATCATACAAAAAATCAAATCTCAGATGCTGGCCTAGAAAGATCCACCACAAAGACTTAGAAAATTGCCAAAAAAAAAAAAAAAAAGAGAGAGAGAGAATATATGAAGAATACTAGGTACCATCAAACGTCCAAACATTCGGATAACTGGTATCCCAGAAGGCAGAGAGACTCATAAGGGCATTGATAATTGATTCCATGAAATCCTGGGAAGAAAACTTTCCAAACCTAGAGAGGCATTCAAAGATCCAGACCCAAGAAACACAAAGAACCCCCAATAGAATCAACCCAAGAGATCTTCTCCAAGACACATTATTGCCAGATTGATCAAAACCACAAAGACAAGATACAAAGATTGGCAAGAGAGAAATGTCAAGTTACCTACAAAGGATATCCCATCAGGCTAACAGTGGACCTCTCATCAGAAACATTGCAAAGGAAAGAATGGGAAAATATATTCAAAGTGTTCAGGGAAAAGCAATTTCAACCAGAGTATTGTACCCGGCAAGATTATCTTTCATATGGGAAAAAACATAAAAACAAACAAACAAAAAAACCCAAAGAAACAAAAAAACAAAAAACAAAAAACAAAAAAAACCCAAGAACATTATCAGATAAATAAAACCTGAAAGAATTTATCAACACCAGACCATCTCTGCAAGAAGTCCTGAAAAGAGTGCTATGTTAGGAAAATTAAATACAGACACACAGAAATAAGAGTTCAAAAACTAAGAAAATGGCCAACTTAATTGCAGGGACAAGTCTGGAGTTGAATATTATATCCTAGAATTTAATCGGGAAGATTGGACCACAACAGAAAATAAAATACATGAGACTGTACTGGTGGAACAGAATTTCATGGCTTTTGACTAAAACATTGCTGAGTTTCTTCTAGGCTTTGTTTTCTGGTTTTAAGAATTTTTTGTCTTTTCTTGAGCTGCTGATAGGTTCATGTATGTACTATTTGAAAAGAATCTTAACCTGTTTACTGGGTTTAAGTTTTAAGCAAAGCTCTTAGCATTTCTTTGATTTATTAAAGCTAAAACTGCTTTTCTTGAAATTAAAAAATACATTAAAAAATACCTATTTAATGACCATAGTAAGCTATATAGCATCAGCTAGGTGCTACTTTAGAGTACATTCATTCTACTCAGAGTTTTAAGCCTAAAGTCAGACATGTAGTCACAGATATGTATATGTCAGCTGAACTTGCTATTGATAGTAGTTAGATTATTCAAGAAATTTTGTGAATCAATAAAATGTGAGGGGAAAAAAGAATGGAAAACAACTGTAGACACCAGAGATTGTGTGGGAAGGGAGTGGGAAATGGTAGAGGGTGAGAAATAGGGGGAAAAATATATATATGGAACTAGAAATGGAATATTATTAATGGTAACATGCATGATTTATTTATTTATTTATTTATTTATTTATTTGAGAGGTTTTTGCTATAGGGAGCACGCGCTCACCAGAAAGACAGAGAGAGCCAGAGAGACAGAAAGCGAGAAATTACCCCCCGGGGGGATAGCCACGCTGCGATCCCTTCTCCTCCTTTCTCCTCTTGGGATCTTGGGCACGCACGCACATGCGCCCGGAGTGAGTTTAAGTCACTGGGCCCGGGACTCGAAATGCGGTCGACTACATGGGAGTCCAGCGACATAGCCATTACGCTAACTGCTGGTCCCAGTAACGTACGATTAAGCCACTATGCAGTATATTCTGGATGGGAAATCACATTTTGCATGCTGTGATGATGCTCAGTGAATAAAGGTAAATTAATTCATAATTTAAAAAATTAATAAAAATTAAAAACATATACATTAACAAAACAAAACAAAACAAAAAACACTGTATGATTTAGGCTTTTCCCAATTCTTCAAATTCATTTTCCAAATCTTCTTGGCTTTCTAAAGCCCAGTTTTACTGCTCTTACATAAGTTTCGAGAAGATGCTAAACTTTTTTCCCACTCCAGGCTATTAATAACTTTCATTCCCTTTACTTAAAAAAGTTTTTCCTTTATTCTACATTTGCCTTCAGAAGGGATTTAGACAATCCCTTTCAGAGGCTTTCTTCAACTAATCCATTCTCATCAAGTTTTCTTTGCTTTTACATGCCTTCCTCCTTTATAGCCTCTTTTGGAAGTTACCTACCTTTCGAGTTCTATAAATGCTTCCTTCTAGAATGTGTAAGCTTTCTTAATCAGTATCTCTTTCCTAATGTTCCAATTGATATATAATGTGCCTATGACATATGTATATATTTATACTAATATATGCATACATATAGTTATTTTGTTTATATGTATGAAAATGGTCTCCAGGTATCTAAATTTAAGTATTTCACTATAATATTATATATACAAAATTGCACTCTGAATTGCACTCACTTCTCTAAGCCTCTTTCATATTTCCTATTTATGTCACTACTAACTCATTTATTCAGCCAAGTCAGAAACCAGAGTCCTATTTTTTTTTCAATTTGTCCCTTCTATCCAATCTTTCACTAACCTCTATTGATTTTGCCTCATCAACACCTTTCTGATCTGTTTAGCTTCTCTGTTTAGCTCAGACTGACTGACTTTTTCTCTCTCCTTTTTCCTTCCTTTCTTCCTTCCCTCCCTTTTTTTTGGTTAATTTTTGCCAGATGGGGGTGTGTTTCCTGAAAAGAGACAAACAGGTAAAGGGAGAGTAAGAAATCACCCTTCAGTTGGGAAGCCATGTCATCCCTTTTTCCCAACTCTCTTCTGGGGATTTTGGGCACACACACATCAACTGGGAGTCCAGGACTCCAGGCGCTGTCAGCCATATGTTACCCAGCTCCTTAAACACCATGCCTAAGACTGGCCCAGATATCTTATTTCTAAGGAGAGTTATTGTAAAGAACTCCAAGGAAACCCTCCTAGTTGTGTTGTATCTTTCCCTCCCCATATCTGCCCTCCATACCACTGTCACAATGATCTTTCAGTATTCATTATGATCTTGTTTAAAATCCTTCAAAGATACTGTTTCGCTTGAGACAACCATAAACATGTCACGATCAGATTCAGTTTCACTTCTCTAATTTTATTTGCCATGCTACTGCTTCTCCAACTCCAGTTACTCCAGATAGTACCAGTATCCGAGTAGGTACAGCTGTGGTACCATGTTGGAGTGGAGTCCCTTCCCTCCCAGAAGTGCTTACATTCAAATCGCTTCATCCCGAGTACTAGTAAAGCAGAACAGCTGTCTTTCTTTTTTTTTCTTTGAGAGGTTTTTGCTATAGGGTGCATGCGCTTGCCAGACAGACAGAGAGATAGAAAGTGAGAAATCGCCCCCCCCCCAGGGGGGATGGTCACACCGCAATCCCTTCTTCTACATTCTCCTCTCGGGATCTTGGACACGCACACACATGAGCCCGGCGTGAGTTCTAAGCCACCGGGTCCGGGACTTGAACTCCGGTCGACTAAATGGGAGTCTAGCGACATAGCCCTTATGCTAACTGCTGGTCCCCAGAACAGCTGTCTTTCTAAGTCTCATCTCTGCACTTCTTTCTATTCTTGACTTTTCCCCTCAGCCTATTGCGACAAACTAGGCAGTAAGCTTCAGCTGCTCTGAAAAACTGTCCTTCTGGGCCTGCGGGTCCATTTAGGCGGTCGGTGTTCTGTGGTGTCCACACTTCATTTCCTCTTCCTCCACCGCTGAGCTGAGCACCGCCCTCAGACCCTCCGAGGCTGTGGGCCCCAGGGTGAGCCCCAAGACCCAGGAGTGGTCCTTTTCACCACCCCCCACCCCGCCCGAGCACAGGCAACGGCGCCCCCACAGGGGACCTCAGAGATGATATGTGAAAAAATGAGAAAAGGATGAAGGTGGTGATTCGGATACAGATGGGCTTGCTTCAACAAACTTTGCTCCTTTCAGGATGGCAGTCCGTGGGAAAATGTATCCTGGCTGCTGCGACTCTCGACTCTCGCCGCAAGGACCCGGCATGGACTGAGGGGCTCCGGCGGCCTCGCTCACTGAGGCGGCCTGGCCTCTTCACAGGGCGACCTCTCCCCCTCACAGGGGCGACCTCTCCCCCTCACAGGGGCGACCTCTCCCCCTCACAGGGGTGACCTCTCCCCCTCAAGGGGCGACCTCCTTTCCTCACAGGGGCGACCTCTCCCCCTCAAGGGGCGACCTCCTTCCCTCACAGGACGACCTCCCCCCCTCACAGGACGACCTCTCCCCCTCACAGGGACGACCTCCTTCCCTCACAGGGCCGACCTCTCCCCCTCACAGGACGACCTCTCCCCCTCACAGGGACGACCTCCTTCCCTCACAGGGCCGACCTCTCCCCCTCACAGGACGACCTCTCCCCCTCACAGGGACGACCTCCTCCCCGTCACAGGACGACCTCTCCCCCTCACAGGACGACCTCTCCCCCTCACAGGGACGACCTCCTTCCCTCACAGGGCCGACCTCTCCCCCTCACAGGACGACCTCTCCCCCTCACAGGGACGACCTCCTTCCCTCACAGGGACGATCTCTCCTCCTCACAGGGGCGACCTCCTTCCCTCACAGGGACGACCTCTCCTCCTCACAGGGGCGACCTCCTTTCCTCACAGGGACGACCTCTCCCCCTCACAGGGGCGACCTCTACCCCTCACAGGGGCGACCTCTCCCCCTCACAGGGACGACCTCTCCCCCTCACAGGGACGACCTCCTTCCCTCACAGGACGACCTCTCCCCCTCACAGGACGACCTCTCCGCCTCACAGGGGCGACCTCCTTTCCACACAGGGACGACCTCTTACCCTCACAGGACGACCGACCTCTCCCCCTCACAGGGACAACCTCTTCCCCTCACAGGACGACCTCTCCCGCTCACAGGGAAACCTCTCCCCCTCACAGGAACGACCTCTCCCCCTCACAGGAACGACCTCTCCCCCTCACAGGAACGACCTCTTCCCCTCACAGGATGACCTCTCCCCCTCACAGGACGACCTCTCCGCCTCACAGGGGTGGCCTCCGTCACTCACAGAGGCGGACTCGCTCACA